TTTTTTGTGAATAATGAAATCACCAAGAGTGATGACAAGAAAAATGGCAGAAAGAAAGAGATAATGAAGCAGGTGGTAGAATGAATGAAGGGGAAATTGGTAGATGATTACAAAAAGCAGAGGCAGCAGGTGGCATTGTTTAATGCCCATGTATGAGTATTTAAAAAACAACAACAACTGGATTTTTAGGAGGAAGGAATAATTATTTGGAATTGGTAAAGATGAATAACAGCTCACCATGATAAGTGGTTTTGGGTATACGATGGATCAAGTTAGGGTTTGACCTAGTCACAATCTGATTTCAAACTATTTCCATTATACCACCTCAGACTTCGATTGGAATTAAAGTTCTTGGACCTAGATTCCCATATTCTTTTGCTCTTTCTGCAATGTAAACCATTTGGCTGCCCTCAAAGTTGTGTTGCTTTAAACAGTTGCCAGGGTATACTTTAAAAGTCTGATTCCTTTTAAAATAAATAAATATATATATTATGGAAAATTTCAAACATGTACAGAAGTAGAGACACTAGTGTAACAACCTCCCATGTACGCATCACCTAGTTTCAACAATTATAAATTCAAAGCTCATCTTCATTTTTCTGCATTCCCAGTCTCCTTCCTCAATTATTTTGAAACAAATCTCTGATTGCATATCATTTTATCAATACTTCAGTATTTATCTCTAATGGGTAAGGAACTATTTTTTAATTACAATTAAAATTACAATTCCTCAGTATCATCAAATATCTAGTCAGTGTTCAAACCTCCCTAATTGGGTCATAATAATTTTTAAACAGATGTTTGTTTAAACTAGGCTCTAAGTAAAGTCCTTACATTGCAACTGGTTAATATGTTGAAGAACTGGATCTTCTGACCTGTTTTCCACCCCCATAGTCTGGATTTTGTTATTGTACTCCCATGGTGTTCTTTAATGTGCTCCTCTATTCTCCATAATTCCTGGAAATTGGTAATCAGATCTTGAGGCTGATCAGACTCGGGTTCATTTTTTGGTAAGAATACTCCATAGATGGTGGTGTGTGCTTGATCAGCGAGGTCATATGCCATCAGGTTGTCTCTTACTCTTTGTGGTGTTAGATTATTAGATTCATTATATCATTAGGGTGCAAAACAGTGATACTCCATCAAATTTTTTGTTAGATTGACAATTTTTGACAGAGAGCAACTTCCCTTCATCAACCATGGGTACAAGTCATTTAGGAAAGACAGGCTATCCCATCAGTTCACTTGTGAAAGAGGCTTATCCGAGAGCTCCTGTGGTTTTAAGGATGTGTATATTTTGCCTTTAAAGTACTTAATTGTAGCTTGTCCTACTTTTAAAACTAGACTACATTTACAGGATGTAGTTTCACATCGTGGCTTAAATATGAATAGATTTACTGTTAAATGGGAATATATTATAGGATTTAGTTCTAACACCCTTGAAGAGGACTGTGCTGAGAGCATTCAGATGTTCAACATGCAGCTTTCCAATGTTCAGCTGCATTTCACAAAAGCTTATAAAATATTGAACTCTTTTCTGATACGTGACCAACTAACTAATCTATAAAAACAAAGGCTGAACTCAGTGCAAATGGTATTATAACAAGTGTCTATTCTCTTATTCTATTCAAGGAAACGTGCCAGGGGTATAGTGGCTCTGGAATCAGATCGAGAGGGTTTGAATTCCCCTTCACTTCTTTTGGTGACCTTGAGCAAGTTACTCGCTATATTATAAATATATAATAAGAGAATCTGAAAGATCAGTGAATATCCTAAACATTATACATTTCTTAAAAGTTAGAAAATAAATATGCATTTAGCAAAAGTCCCCTTTGTATCATTTTGGTTAGGAGTGGGGATGAGGTAAGGAATGTTGCCAATTGCCAAATATTGTTAATTATGACAATATTAACAATAAAAAAAGCTGGTTTGAGAACGTGCCATCTTTGATTCTCAGGGCAGTGATAATGTAGTCTGCTTTAGGCTGAAGCACTTTTTACTCAATATTGATGGAACTGCATGGTAGACCAGGGAGGACTACCGCAGAGGGTGGGTCTCTAGAGAGGGAGAACTGGACATTTGCCAGTGAAACTTGCCTTTGGTTCTACTGAGAGTATAATGGTAGACTGAACGCCAGTGAGACAGAAATGCCCTCTAATTGCCTAGAAAATAACCGTAACATACCTAGACATTTTCCTTCTATTACTGTTAAACTTAGCCCTCTGCCTGAACCTGCCCTTCCTCCCCGACCCCCTTCTCCCAGATTGAGTCAATACTGCCCCATCTCTATCCAGTTTGGCTCCCTGCCTCAGTGGAGCTGTGTTATCCCACAGTTGTTTCATCTTTTGTGACAGTGCCGACACATAGTTGTTAATTCATGGAGAGTCAAAATGATTTCCAAGTCAGTGAGAAACAAGTACAAACACTGGAAAATGTATCCCCACCCCCTAATCTTCATAGGAATCTGTTGATTAGAAATACGTAGAAAATTGAGCTAACTGGGGGAATAGGGTATACGTTGTTAAAACACAAAAAGGATTAGACAAAGCATAGCTTATATTCATATCTTGTCACTGCCTTAATTATATGTATAATGTAAGTTCTGTAGGCATTGTCTTCTTCGAATGACATTTTAATACATTTTTTTTATTGAAGCGCACATACAGAATAAGTGGGATTTGCATTTTTAAGGTCATTAAGTAGTGTCACATAGCCATGGGTGCCTTATTAATTTCTGTTGTAACCCCAAATACTTCTTAAAACTTGGGAATGTATGCCATGGGGCATTGTCAGCTTCAAAGCGACATTAAGTTCAGTTGTGCTGTGCAGCATCAGACTATTTCTGAGTAACACCTAGAAGATGCACATGTTTATATTGGTCAATATGTTTTATAATTCCTGAGCTCAACAATTTGACAAGTTGAATTAAGGATGAAGTTCAATCTAGACCTTCAAGGTTACGTTTTTCTATTCGTTTTTTACATATATATGCAACTTATTCTATCCTTAACAACTATGTTTACAAAGAATAAAAGATTTTGCAACCACGAGTTGGAATGGAAACAATTTCTGAGATAGAGATCAAATTGTGTTTATAGATACCATTACTGGCATTACACTCAGTCATTTCCTCTGGGAATATTTCACTGGGACCTAATTTTATGATTTGACTGTTCATTAAATAGCCTTGGTTCCATGGAATAAAAATAGTGTATAACTATAAGTAGTAATGTATGCAAATTATAGTGTAACATTTCGTGGTATTTTCCTAGATGGAATTAAGATAATTTAACAAACTGTGTTCTTATGCATCACTGAAAGAATTTTAAAACAACACTAATGCAGTCTAATGGAGAGTTAGGCAATAGACTGGAAATTAAAGCCATTTGTTTCCTTTTAAAGTTGACATTAATTTAAAAATATTTATTCATCATGTCCAGTATTTAAGATACTATACTTATACTCTGTGGAGAATACAAAAGTAAATTATAGTTTCAAACCTTAAGTAGTTTATGCATTTTTCTTGTAGGGGAAATAGAGCATGTCTTGTATAAAACAAAGAACAAAAAATATACTATGTGTGGGTATGAATAAAGTACTATTGGAGTTTGGAAGAATGGGAGATCATGTCTATCTGGGCGATCAAAGGTGACTTCATAGAGAAGGCAGCGGGGTGGAGTCTTCTTAAAAGGTAAGATTTCTGCAAATAGATATGCAGGCAAAATTGTTGCAGGAGGCAGAGACCATATTAACAAAGGTAGTATAGATCAAAGCACATTTAGAGACTGGAGCCTTTGACTGGTGGGGAAAGAAAAAGAACTTGCACAGAGAAATATAGTTGTAAAGCGTGGGTTAGAGCTAAATTCTTATTGTTATGCGAGCATTTATTCAACAAATATTTCCTGAGTATTTACTATGTGCAAGCAACTGTGCTAGGAGTTAGGAGTACATTCACGAGCTACACAAAGGCCCTTTCTCATATGTAAACTCTAAAAAATGTAACTGAAATCAGGGATGAGGGCAACACTTGATTCCAACACGAGGTACTTTAGTTTACAACTGTTACATAGAATACGTTTTTGAGAGTTGGTATTTTTAAATAACTTTTTTTTTTCAATTTCAATCCAACTGTTCCTCAACCCAGTTTTAATAAAAATGAAGTGCTATTTGGGTGATGGAGGGGGCACTATATTTGCGGCTCCATTTTACAAGTTTTGGTTGATGTCAGGATTAATTTTGTTAGCACGCACTGATTGAAAATAAAAGAAATAGAAACTTTAAAACTTTAAAGAGAGACACAGGTGATGTTTTGTTTTTTTTGAGAGGACACAAAAGGATTCTTAATTGAAAAGGAATCGCTGCAAATTTTCTTGAAATAGCTAGCTGCTTGTGCAACTAAATTAATTCGGAACGTTTCTAGAACACATGGCACTACTTGAGATACACCTGCACACATACTTTGTCCATCAAAGCAATCTTTGTTTTCCCTCAAGCTAGGGCTTGCTATACTGAACACGCCTCGTGCAATGGTGGCGATGGGGAGGGTGGTGAAAAGTGATGCGTGGCAGCCAGGAGAGCACTTTCCCTTTCTCTGTCTCCGTAACTAAAACTTTGCAGCCTGCAGCCCAGTCTCACCTTCCCGCTCGTTCTTCCTCCTGCCTCTACTCTCACTGCAAACCCCACGCCCGGTGCGCTCACCCTCGCTTCCCTCCTTCCGTCTACTTCAGCTCACCGTCACCCACCTCCCCGCCGGACCCTCCGTCCGCCCCTCGCCGCACGCGCCCCCGGGCACGCAGCTCGGCTGTCCGCAGCCCGCAGCCCGCACGCCCCGTCGCGGCCCGGGGCTCCGGGGCATGCGCTCTGCGGCGCCGCCGCCCTCCCCCACCCCTTCCCGCGGCAGAGTTATGCCAAGTATGTGAGGAGCCCGCGAGGGCCCGCGCTGGTCATGGGGAGCCGCCGCCGCCTCCGCGAGCACCGCTTTCTCTCGAGTGGGGCTCCGACCTCTCCCCGCGGCGGGGGCGAGCCCGGTTCCTGAGGCGCAGGGGATGGCGGACCCTCTGAGGAGGACGCTGTCCAGGCTCCGGGGGAGGCCGGGTCCCCGTGCTGCCGGAGGACTCGGGCTCTGGGCGGCCTCCGCCACTGCCGACGGAGACGCCGGGGGTGCTCTGGGCGCCCCTCCCCGCGAGTACGCGGGCGGAGCCCCGCCGAGCCTGGAGCCGCCCCCGCCGTCGCCGCAGGCGTGGGGTCCCGAGGCGCGGCTCCCCGGAGGGCGTCCGGAGCAGCCGGGGGCGCTCGGGCCTCGGCCGCCAGGCGGGAAGGAGGCCGCTCCTCGGAGCCGCGGCCTCCTTCCCGCCCCCGTGCACGCCCCGCCGGACTCCGAGGGCAGCGGAGAGGACGAGGACGCCGCGGACTACTATGAGAACCTGCCCGGCGGCTCCCGACGCGCGTTGGAGCCTGAGGGGGCGGAGGCGGGGCGGTGGCCCCCGCCTCCCCCGGCGGCGGGCTCCTCCCCGGGGGCGGAGGGCGGCCGCCTGGAGACAGGCAGGCTGCAGACCCAGTTGCGAGAGGCCTATTATCTGCTGATCCAGGCCATGCACGACCTGCCCCCTGACTCGGGAGCGCGGCGGGGCTGGGCGGATCGCGGCTGCCCTGCGGGAGCCGGGGCGCGGAGCCAGCCCACTTCCCCCTGCGGCTCTGCGGACCGCGGAGCTTGCCCCCGGGACTGGGAGCGGGGAGGCGGGGGCCGCCCTTGGCAGCAGGTGTCCCCGCCCCGGTCGCCTTCGAGGGAGACAGGGGGAGGCCGCCTGCGGACTCCTCGGATGCGGCTGTCTTGCAGCAGAAGCCTCGAGAGCCTCCGGGTGAGCGCCAAGCCTCCTGCCTTCCAGCGGTGGCCGAGCGACAGCTGGATCAGGTGCAGTGCGCGCGGGGACCTGGACGAACCCCCGCCACGTGGAGGCGGGATGGACGGCTGGAGCCGAGGCAGCGCCCCGACCGCGGCACCCTCCGGCCTCCAGACTCCCGGCTCCAAGGACCCCAGCCGCTCCGCGGGAAGCACTTTCAGGGATCCTGCGGGATCCCCTGTGATACGCAGCGGCAAAGGAGGCCAGGAGGGGCTCCCCTTCCTCAAGCCGCCAGCCGTGACAGTCAAGAAGCTGCAGAAGTGGATGTACAAAGGACGCCTGCTGTCCCTGGGAATGAAGGGTCGCTCCGGTGGGACATCCCCCAAAGTCAAGGGAGCGCAGGCCACCTCCCCAAATTTGGGCGGGTTGAAAATGCGTGAAAGCCAAGTCCTCTCGGTGCCTCCAGACGAAAGAATTACGCTGACAGGTAGAATACTTTGCAATCAAAATACTACTAACACTTCGAGCCTTAATGTTTACTAACTGGGCTTCTGTCTTAAGAGGAAGAATAAGGTATGTTTTCGCAGACAGGTACAGGTACGTGCCTGTGCCAAAGTAAGTGTCATGTAAGTGGCAGCTTAGTGCGATTTCGAGGTTACTTAGTAAAATGCATTCACTCGTTTTGCTTTTTTTTTTTTTTTAAGACAGTGGCATGAGGAACTTGGGGTTTTTGGTTTTTTCTTCTCTACGAACCATTGCGCCTACACCTAAGCACAACAGTGAGTAAAGGTTAAGTTCACTACAGGGCTTTTAGTAGGTTTGGAGTTGGGCGGTGCTTCCTTGATTTTTATTCTTTGTAGCTCTAGGCAAATCGCAGACTTTTGTGGAGTTTGTGCATTTGAATTTGATCCAAGGTAGACTTCACGGGCTTCATAACTGTCATTTTACTCATTACACCGTTCTTCCCCCTCCTCTCCCAGGAGCGTGTGCATAAAAACAGGCACTTACACACAACCAAAACCCAAAACCCAACCAAACAAAAAAACTACCATAGTAAAATTTCTCTTTAGTCAGGTAGGATTTCACATACTTCTCTCCACCTTTCCCTCCCCTAAACTTCCCACAAAAAGCCCAACAAAGTAAGTAATCTTTTCATTGTGGAAAAACAAGGGCACTAGTATTTTAATCAAAAGAAAAGTCCCTTATGCATTTGAAGAAAGTGTAGACATTTAAAGTCATTTTACTTGAGTATACTTGTCCTTTTAATAGGATTTTGCTGCCTATTTTGTATGTGTATGATTTTTAAATTTCCACTGGAGGTTTAGGTTATCAGTTCTAGAAATCTCTTAATTACGTTGTAAATAGCAAATCTTCTCTTCTGAAAGAAGTATGATACCTTCAGACTGAGCCAAAAACATGATCTTTTGAATTACACTCTTAAATATAAAGACTTTTAGTTAACATAATGACTAATATGTCAATAATGATTTAAAAACATTAAATGCTGAAATGTAAAAAGTGTTCACAGTACTTGGCAGTTTCTCTGGTAAAAATTACAAATCCTACAGGACTGGGTTTATACACATCAACTTTGTTTAACCAATAAACACAAAACAGTGGGGAGAAACACAGTTCACAAAGCTACTAATCACACAATGAGAACAAATCAAATTATTCATTTAAAATGTATACAAACTTGAAAAGTTTTATTGAACCTATAAATCTCTAATCCACACCTGTCAAAAATTTCCCTCAAATTTATTCCATTTCACTTGAAGAAAAGGATAGTAGAATGTAATTTTTTTTGTGAAGAGAGGTGTACTTTATGCTAAGTTCAAATTAAAATATTCATTTTCAGGAGTAAATGTAATCATTTATTACATTTTATTGTCATTATAGCTTTACCTCCTCTGATTTTGGTTCAGTTAACTCTTTGTAACAGTTAAATTCCAACCATAACAAAAATCTGTATAAAACTTCAAATATTTTTTCCCCTTTGTTGCAAAGGTTAAATATTTACCATTTGATGGCTTTTAATGCTTTCAGTTGTAGTGTAAACATTCAAGGATTTTAAAAGCAATAATGAATGTAGTAATGTTTAAGGATGAATTCACTGATTTTTTTTTCATCGAGAAACTAATTAGATGAAACTTACAAAATTAAAGTGAAACATTAGAATTACTATGTGATGATATTTTACAAGAAATCTAGGCAAAAGCAATCTCTGGTTTATACAACTTTCTCATGTTATTTCATTTCAAATCATCAATTCGTCTTTTAGGAAAGAAATAATTTGTGCAATGTTAATATATCTAGTATAGATTTTTTAAATAACTTTTTTATGAAGGTTTAGTTGAAAGTATTAAAACCATTCTGGATACTTTATGTAGTTTGCATATAATCTTTATCACTACCCCCCCCCTCCAAGGTATGATAACTGTCATTTAACAACAACCAAAGAAACAGATTAAGTAGTTTGCGCAAGGTCACTCAAGCTGGTATATGGTGTATATACTAGTATATGGATTCAAACTATTATATGAATTCAAACTCAGGTCTTTATGACTCTAAAATCCCTATTTACATAAGGTCAAGGAGACTCTAAAGTTCTTTAGAGGTTTGATTCAATTCTATTAAATTGCTTGGTTTGAAGACATGGATGGAATTTCAACAAGGCTTAGAGGGGTAAGTAACTTCCTCAAAATTGTAAAAAGATGGAATTCTAGAATAGGTTTTAAGACTTTTGTTTTAAATCAACTGCAATATACATTTTAAACCTTTACCTTTAAATGTTTATTTAGTTCAAATTGACGTTACTAGGATTCTACTTTTAAATCATGTTTTCTAAAAACTTAATTGGGCTGTTCAGATGAATCACTACATTCTTGGTTGTGTAAAGATATAAAGTAGCCTAAAAGGTTTCTATCCATTTTTCTATAGAGTATTATTTATGAGTGTATTTTCTTTAAAAATAAAGTTATAGTTAGAATTTATAACAGAATAATACATAATGGGATATAGATACCTAACCTGTGTAGGTATTTTGGAAATTCTTGAGACCATATGACAAATGATAGCCAAAATGGTTTTCTATTTTGACTTTTGGCTCTTATAAAAACCACTAAAACTTTTGATAGTATAATAATACCAATAATTTGATGCAGTTGGGTATGTAGTGTTCACAGATTGGCCAATTTGTTCCTAATTGAGATGATTATTTAAGAAATCTAAAGTCATTACACATGGTAAATATTGTCAAGTTTCTGCAAGCCTTAAGATTAAGAAGGAATTTTAATCTATTTGCCAACTATACTTCATTATAAATCTTTATAAATAAGTTTTAATTAGCATATAGTACTCAGAAATAAATTTAAAAGCACCAGCTTGAGCTATTTTTGTCCTTTTACTGCTTTAGAAAATAATTTGCCTTACTTTGTGCTTTTCTTGCTCCATGATCTGTGAAAGAAAAAATTTAGGACACGTAGCTTGTTAATATTTTGTCTAAAATCTTTAGACAGTTCTTTTAAAATAGTATTAATTAGCTGGTATGATCTCGTGCATTATATCTTCAAGTGAAGTTGACACTCGTTTTTTGAAGTTGACACTTGTAATGCACACTTCCATCTATTCTCTTCTCTCAAGTATTTGTATCTCTAATTTCTCACCTATATGAGATATATTACCTTTATGAATTTTTTCCAATAAATTATTTTATGCATTAGACCTTTCAAGATTAATAGCTATAGGCATATAATTTTTGACTGTCTTCTAGCTTTAAATCCCTCTGAGAAAGTCTGCCATTGTGGCTGTAGAAGCAAGTCCATTTTTTTGTTTTCTTGTTTTTTTTTCTTTTTTCTTTTTTGGGAAGCATGCCACAGAACATTGGAGTTGCTGCTGGCAGGAAAACTCTGAGAATTACAAATTCAGCAGAAAGTCATGTGTTGATTTCAAAGTCCTACATTGCTAAGTAGTGTTTATATTTTGAGAATCATTAAGGATGTTTTCTAGATCTTTGCCACTCAATGTGTGTGTGGTTCACAGAGAGCAGTGTACCTTGAGTTTAACATTTGTATGAATTCCCTGAAAATCTTGTTAAAATGCAGGTTTAATATGGGGGTGGGGTGGGTAGGGGGATGGGACCTGAGATTCTGCATTTGAACAAACTCCCAGTAAGGATGCTGCCATTTGGTACACATTTTAAGTAGTAAGTTTCTAGAATCGTCAGTCTCCCCAGTCACCTATCTTGATACATTTGTTAAAGTTTTGAAAAAGCCTTACACTTTATTCTGATTCTTGACACAACCCTTGTTAAAGAAAAGCACTTGAGCTCTTTCTGCTTTAGTTTTATGTGCATGAATTTATACTTACTACTTATATATGACAAGTTTAAGCAATTCCCTCCATATAGGTCTCATCTTGCACCAATTAAAGAGATTTTGGAATCTGCAAGACAGGATATAGTATAGTATCTAAAAGAATAGAGATTCTGGGTTTCTGAGCAGATCCACCACTTA